CCCCCCCCCCACACACACACACACACACACACACACACTTTTACTATAAAACATTAGTTCAGGCGGCGCAGTTTCTCTTTCTTCATGAACAAATCCATTCCACTTGATTAATAGGAGAATATTCAAGCCACTAAAACGCCACTCCAGGTTTTCCTGGTTACCTCCAACTCTCCACCGTCCCTTCCTGCCTCTTGCCTCGGCAGAAAACGCGCACAGGTGGAGGAGGTGGAGGTACCTGTGTTACTTGCTCGCCAGTTTAGCAAGCTTAGTGTGGGCAGTGGTTGACCAGGGGGTTGATCATAAACATAAATTCATGTTATCCTGATGCATGCTCAATAATCCAGGTAGAAAAATCTAAAAAAGTTAAATCTGGTCCTCTGGACATTCAAAAAAACAAAACAAAGCAAAACAACAAAAAAATGTAGAAACGTTTCGTCTCTCATCCAAGAGACTTCTTCAGTCTGAGGTGCTGTATTCAGCTCAGTCTCTTGACTCCTCACCCTGTCTCTAAGGGAGAGCCCAGACACCCTGCAGAGAAAACTAATTTCAGCCGCTTGTATCCGAGATCTCATTCTTTCGGTCACAACCCAAAGCTCGTGACCATAGATGAGGGTGGGAACGTAGATCGATCGGTAAATTGAGAGCTTTGCCTTTTGACTCAGCTCTCTCTTCACCACGACAGACCTGTACAGCGCCCGCTTCACTGCAGACGCTGCACCTATCCGCCTATCGATCTCACGCTCCATTTTTCCCTCATTCGTGAACAAGACCCCAAGATACTTGAACTCCTCCACTTGGGGTAGGACCTCCTCCCTGACCCGGAGAGGGCACTCTACCCTTTTCCGGCTCAAGACCATGGCCTCGGATTTGGAGGAACTGATCTTCATCCCGACCGCGTCGCATTCGGCTGCAAACCGCTCCAGCGAAAGCTGTAGACCACGATCTGATGAAGCCAATAAGACCACATCATCTGCAAAAAGCAGAGACGCAATCCTAAGGCCACCAAAACGGATCCCCTCAACACCTTGGCTGCGCCTAGAAATTCTGTCCATAAAAGTTATGAACAGAATAATAATAATATTAAAGTGTCAGCAATTGCATATTTCTATGCAATGTTTTTTTTTTCCAAGAGTCAAAATACTACATTGAGAAAGTTTGTTACTAAACACTGTGTAGTCCATTTGTTTATCACTGTTGAACTACAAAATAACAGTTCAATCTTTTATAGTGAATTTCTTTGGAGTGGTTATGAGTTGTCATTGTTCTACCTGCAGTAAATACTGAACAAAGAATCAATGTATTTCCTGACTCTGCTCTCTTTGCATTATGCCCATTTTCAGTAAGGGATTATGAAAATTTACAAAAAGAATGCTGTTTGGATGGTATGAAGGACATACCCATGTCATACACTTGTGAGAGGCGAAGTGAGTACATTGCTGAAGGTTTAGCCTGTAAGGAAGCTTTCCTGCGCTGCTGCAAGACGATCCAAAAATACAATGCTGAGAGGAGGGAAGACGTTTTACTACTAGCTCGCAGTAAGATATGAGTACAAAATATGTGGGGTAATTTCATCCTTTCTTGGTTATATTAAAAAAAAAACAACTTACTTTTAAACTTGTTTTTTTTTTATCATTTTCTAAGGTAAGAAAGATAACCTTTACACAGGCAGCGATTATGTACATATACGATCCAACTTTCCTGAAAGTTGGCTATGGTCTGACATCACTCTAAATCCTTGTCCTAACGAAGACCTCGACTGGTGAGTAAAATAATATAATTAAAATATTGTTATAATTTTGTTCTGAAAGTAACTATTAGAAGCTTAACTATTTTTCAGTACGTTAACATCAACTGAGATAAAGAAACCTTTACCAGACACAATCACAACCTGGCAGCTGACTGGCATTAGTTTGTCAAAAACTTATGGTAAGGATCTATTGTTTTTAAATCTTAATTTTGTTTTTATATTACTCTTAATTTAATAAAGCAAAATATAATGCAGAAAAGGATTATAAGGAGGGGAAAAGGAGTGCCAAGAGACAGAAGGAGAATTGGACAGTCAAGAGTGTATGACTGAGGGTAGCAACTCTAAATGTGGGGACAATGACAGGCAAAAATAGAGCTGGATGACACGATGCAGGGAATGAAAGTACATGTTTTATGTGTCCAAGAGACCAAGTGGAAGAGTAGCAAACCTTACAACATTGGGCCAGGGTTTAGGCAGTATTATCATGGTATGGATAGGAAGGGAAATTGAGTAGGGGTGGCCCTAAGGCAAGTGTTTGCCAGAAATATAGAAGAGATGAAAAGAGTGTCTGTTTGGGTGACAGGTCTGAAGGCAGAAGTAGAAAGTCTGATGTTGAATGTCAGTGGTTATGCTCCACATGATGGATGTGAGGTAGAGGAGAAACATAAATTCTGGAGGGATCAAGATGAAGTGATAGCGAGTGCAGGGCACTGAACAGAAACATTCTTATGTAAAAATAAGTTAACAGAAACATCCATAGATATATATATATATATATATATATATATATATATATATATATATATATATAATAATTTAAGACTTTATCTGAGGAGCAGACTGCTTTGAATGTAACTTCATCACAGAACTCTCATCATGAGCAAGCATGAAGGCGACATTGGGAAGGAAAAACTCCCTCATGAGAAAGAAACCTTTAACAGAACCAGGCTCAGGACAAGTGGTCATCTACTTCGACCGGCTGGGTTTAGTAGGAACAAATACACAATAGCAGGTCAAGAATCGCATGTTAAGATAGAAATAATATCAAATGAAAACTATTCCGTTTTAACAATTCATTTAAGGAAATGAGGTCAGTTTGGCCTCTAGTAGTCTAAGCTTAAGGCAGCATAACAAGCCAACCCTAATTATAGGATTTATCAAAAAGGAAAGCCCAGTCTCAAAACTGTGGCAAAAAACTGTAAGAATTGTAAGAATCTACAAACTCAATAGGAACACCATGCATGGATGACATAAGACGAAGAGTTGCTGGCACCGACTTTCTATTGAAAAACACAATCCCTTTGGTTTTATCAGCATTTAGCAACAGCTTGAGATGGAATAAGTCTGACTGAATGATATCAAATGCAGACTGTAGAAGCTGGAAAACCTTGGGAACTGTGTTAGTTTGGCAATAGACAACAGTGTCATCAGCATAAAGATGCAAGGATGTGTCAAGAATGTTTTGACCTACATTATTTATATGAATTGTAAAAACAGTGGGACCTAAATCTGAGCCTTGTGATGACCATTAAGTAACTAGATGAAGTACCATTATGTCAAACATATTGCCTCTGACCTGAGAGATAGTTTGAGAACCAGCCAACAGTGTGATCTGAGAAGGCAGTATCTGAGAGCTTGTGGCATAAGATGACATGATGGTTTAATAAAATGAATGAATGAATGAATGAATGAATGAATGAATGAATGAATGAATGAATGAATGAATGAATGAATGAATGAATGAATGAATGATTAACTGGACAACTACAGCAACAAGGATTAGCCATGCAGGTAGTGACATGATTTTTATCATGTCAAAAGGGGGAATTGAAATATAATTTTATCAGATAATATATTAACTTAATGAAATGTCTAGATATATGTATCCCGTTTTGTTATTTAAAATAATGTGTTAAAACATGATCTGATTCCGTTTCCGGTAGAAAATATAGTTTCAGCTACATGCCTACAACTCCCAGACATTCACGCACCCACCCATTATAGAACACAAGATGGTGAGATATTATTGGTTGAGAGCTGGGTCACATGATAGAGTAGGACTTCCCATTCGTTGATGGTGGTGACGACTCCAGGAGGTGTGGCCAAGCTCTGAAGAAGATGGGTTGTCTGTTTACGTTCGGCGCCATTGTTCGTGACCGCATGGTGGAGTTACAATGGCCCAGGGCTGGTGATCTTGCACTTTACATGTAAAATAAACCTTCTGAAATGGAAGACTATTGCTCCTCCTCTCCCTGCTTCAGATCAGAACACATTCTTACAGTAGGAAGGTACTTAGTGTGTCATATGGAGAGAGAAAAGATGATAAGGAAACCTGGTGGTGGAATTGTGAAGTGCAGATAGTGATCCAAATGAAAAGATTAACCAAGACAAAATGGGTTAGTGTGACATGTTGTACAATGAACCGTATAATGAACTGTTCAAGTGGCTGGACACTTAGACAGAGCTCCAATAAAAGAGAGCTCCAACAAGTTATTATTGGTGCTCCAATACAAAGAGCTCCAATAAGTTCACACAAGTGTTGGACTTTAAGTAAATAGAGTCAAGGTAAATGGGAGTGCGGTGAAGAGGTAAAGAAGAGAATCCAGACAGGATGAGGTAGATGGAGAAATGTTTCAGGAGTGGTATTTGACAAAAGGGTGACAGCAAAGGTGTACAAGAGAGTAGTAAGACCAACTTTGTTGGATGGTTTGGAGACAGTGGCACTGGCAAAAAGACAGTGAGACAGGAGAATGAAGTAGAAGTGACAGAAATGAAGATGTTGAGATTCTTCTTAGGAGTTTAGGATTCTTCTTGGCTTTTTCCTCTCTCCCTCTTGACAAAGACAGATGCTCTCTTTCCCTCTCCTGCCTCACCTCCTGCTTTTGCTCTTTTACTTTTTGTTTTTATAAACTTTTTCAGAGCCCCTTTTTGCATCCCTTCCAAATTGTAAACTATGGATTTGGTCATCTGGTCTCTCAATGCAATTGATCAAATTTTCTCACAAGAAGACAAGGTGAAGGAGAGCCCTCTTCTCGGAAACATGATTGGATTTATGATAACTGGATTCTGCTTTTTGAAGTCAATGGAAATCTGGCTTATCGGCAAACTTGGAAACGCCAGCAGCTGTTTAAGCTGTCTGGAATGTGTGTGCCAGGCTTAGGAACACTCAGATTGTGTGCGAACTATCTGTGGGCCTGTGTCTTACTTTGAGAAGGACACGGAGGGAGACAGATCACAAATGCCATATCACAATCCGGAGACAACTGACAAGACACAAAGGAGCTGAATACAGGTATATGCAGACACTAATGAGGGTGAAATGACAGGCACCTGTCAAGATTACATGAACACAGGTGAGACAAGAGCAGGAACACAGGGAGGATGAACACAGAGGGGTGAATGAAAACATGAGGAAACAAGAGGACAGGACACAAACCCAGAAACCCTACACACAGCACAGATTGAACAACTGGGATATAAAGTTAGTGATGTCAGACTGAGATTGTTTGGGCATTTGTAGAGGAGGGGCAATGAGTATATTGGTAAAAGGATTTCAGAAATGCAACAGTCAGGAAAAACAAAAACAAAGAGGAATACCAAAGAGGAGATAAATGGATATTGGAGAGGTGGCAAAAGTGAGGACAGTGGATGTAGAGGACAGAGTGAGATGGTGAACGATGACTCGCTCTGGCAATCCCTGAAAAGGGAAAAGCTGAAAGAAGAAACTCAGACATTTGCAATATTCTGCCCAAGTTTTTATTTTTGTTGTTTGTTCAGTTACAACACTCACTGTCTTGAAATCATCCCTAAAATACCCCACCCTGATTCTTACTGTACACTGATTCTGAATTTGTAGTTTGGATTCAGTATACAAATATATTTTTCTTTATCTCACTATTGATTGTTATGTATTTTCCCCATTTATGTTTATTTTCCTCTTCTGTTTAAGGTATTTGTGTGTCCAGTCCAGTAGAGTTGATAGCTTTTAAGCCTGTCTTCATTGATCTCAGGCTGCCATACTCTGCTGTTGTTGGGGAACAGTTAGAAATTAAAGCAATTATCCACAACTATGGAATTGATCTCATCACTGTAAGTCTGAGCTGTCCCTTTCAACTAATTACATTTATTATTGATACATTAGGTCAATAAACCATGTCACTGTACATAAGATATATTTTGACCTCAAGTGCTATATTCAGTAAGAATTTTTTGATGATTTTTGGTGAAGTTGTAATTTATATTTCTGAAATGAGCGACAAATAATTGACCAAATACCTGAGCTAGACAGGCTACAATGCCATCACAGGGTCTCTTAGAAAACATCTGCATTATATATTTTTCTTTCAGTTTGTTTAAAATTATCAGTTGTTGAGTTCCAAATCTAACGTTGTCTCTATTTTGTGCACCTCTTTATCTTAATCTATTACAATAGGTACTTGTTAAATATAAAGAGCATGCCAGTGTATGCAGTGCAGCTTATAAGAAAGGATGGTTTACTGAAGTTGTTCAGGTTGGAGCCCAATCCACACGATCTGTACCAATTATCATTATTCCCATGAAGCATGGAACAGTTCCTATCGAGGTCATGGCATACAATTCAAATAACTATGCTGACGGAATCAGAAAAAGTCTACGTGTGGTGGTAAGTAAGACAAATGATGTGATTGCTTGTTGTATGTGGCTATTTTTCTACCTGTAATAGTACACTTGTCTAAATGTTGCATTCCCATCTCTGGCTCGGCTGATGTGGATAGTCTCTATGCATCTCTTCCTTTGATGAATGAGGGAGGCTAATTAATTAGGGGTCCAAGACAGTGGAGGCAAGGGAATTCAGCTGTAAAGCAGACATGCGCAGGGTTCCATCCAAAGGAGCATGGAACCCTATTGAAACTGTTCTGTTTCTCTTTTTCTTTCTTCTTCTTCCGTAAATAAAAGTCATACTGCAGGCAAAACCACAAGGCTTACTGAGATGATAATTAAATGGTGGTAACTATGGCCTGCGTGTGAAGCACAGAAAAATGCTCAGACATGGTTACGTGTAGGGGGTGCTGTCATTGAGGTGTTCAAGTGTTAAGGTGACTAAATGTTTCCATTTGGTCATCTAACTTCCATACCATAGGTTGTAAAATTTATTGGCTTATATCGTCACAAGATATAAGGGAGGCTGCTGTAGCTGAGTGGTTAGAGAAGTTGTGTTCCAGTGGGAGAGTTGGGAGTTCCATTCCACCACAGTCACATGCTGAAGTGTTCCTGGGCAAGACACTGAACCCCTCATTGCCTTCGAAGCATGCCCCATCGGTGTTTGAATGTGATCTAAAGCAGTGGTTCCCAACTTATTTTCTTCAAAGACCCCCCCTTCTTACTTCCTAGCCAATCTGAGACCCCCCATTCCCTCGCTACTCCCCTCTCCCAAAAGACTCAATCAGATTAATCTCCTCTGACTCCTCTGTGTGTTTTTACACATTTAAACATTTACAACTGCATGTGCTTATGTTTATGTTATATATTTAATAAGTGTGAGCATAACCAAGACCAACGATATCTCCCTACCTCCTCTCAGGCAGCCGCGCTCAGTGTTGCCAGGTGAGAAATGTAGGATTATCGTACTAGAGACATAAAATTATCGTATTTTGAGGGAAATTATCGTACACCCGTCATAACCAGAATAACAAATCGATTGATCCACTATAGTAGGATAGCTCCGCTTCCAGACCGGCTCTGCTTCTTTTTCTTTTCTTGTTTTCTTTTCCTCACTCATGGGGCGGGCACAGCGGACTATTCAGCCAATCATGGCCGTTGTTCTGAGACGAACACAAACACGTCACTCGTATGTAACATTTAGAAAAGCACGATTGGCTGGAATTTTCAGCCAATCGTGCATCTGTTTGCAGACACAGATGCCTTCAGGGTTCACAAAAAAACTCGGACAAACAGTTGCAAGAGGCTGATGACACCCGATTACAACCACACATTCACGGAATGATCAAATTATCATACATTTGGCCTTTTTTGGGATTATTGATCGTACAGAGGGCAAAATTGTCGTACAAATACGATAATTATTGTACACCTGGCAACACTGGCCGCACTGCCAACTGAGAGCTGGACGCTGAGTACTGACGTCATAACAAAGCGCTCTTAAAGTGACAGCACAGATTTTAGTTTTTAACATAATACGTTATAGAAAACTCTTCAAACATAGCCAAAATGAGGGTTCTTCAGTGTTAATCAGGATTTGGTGAAATTTCAAACATTATAATTAAAAATAAAAGCATATTTTCTAAAGTTGTTACACAGACATAAAATGACATTTTTACACCCTCTAAGTAGACATATTATGCGACCCCTCTGTGCTCTATAAACACCCCCCCCCCCCCCCATGGGGGTCGGGCCCCCCAGGTTGTGAACCACTGATCTAAAGCACTGATTAGTCTTTGTATAGATCTAGTAGAGTGATGTATGAATGGGCAAATGAAGGCACAGATTGAGTGTAAAGCACTTTGAGTGTCTTTAAGATAGAAAGGCACTATATAAGTACAGTCCATTTACAATCCCTGGTCTCTACTGAGTCTCATGGTGTAAGCCACGTCTATATCCGCCCATTTATTTAACACAAAATAGCATTATTTTGAGTTACATTTATCTACCTGGATTATTGCGCATGCATCAGGATGACTGGGAGATAAAGTTAGAGAGGCCAGACTGAGAAGATCTGGACATGTCCAGAGGGACAGTGGGTTTATCAAGTTCAAGTTTATTGTCATTCACATCACATGTGGTACATGAGGTGTAACGAAATTATGTACTCAGGGTCTCAGTTACACCCAAAAATAGCAAAAACAAAGTTTTTTCTTTTTAATACTACAGGGATCTAAGATATACACTAATCGAACATCAAACGGTACGCAAACAGATCAAAGATATACGCTAAACACTAAAAATGTAAAACAATACTGTGTATCTCATCCTGATGCATGCTCAATAATCCAGGTAGATAAATCCTGGATTTATCTGGCCAATCCATGAATACTGTGTATCCATAGCAACCCGAACATGAGTCTGTGGTGAGCAGATGGTTATGGATGAATACAGCAGCATGAGGTCATCAGCATGAGATATTGGTAGAAGAATGTTAGAAATGCAGCTACCAGGAAAATGACAGGTAGATTTATGACAGTGGTTAGAGAGAACATGGAGGTAGTTGGATTGAGGAGAGAGGATGCAGAATGAGATGGAGGAGGATAGCTTGCTCAGAGACCCATGAAAATGGAAAAGCTTAAGATGAAAGATAACGTTTTTGGGGGAAAAAGTTGCTCAGACCATAGGTCCTCATTAAGACCTTATATTTTCTCCTCATCAAATTCCAAGTCTGCTGTACAGAAGGTTGAAGGAGTTCAGGGGATGAGATTAGCCAAGGTCGACATGCGTCAAATGGCTTGGACTCCACAATAACTGCTCACAGTTCTACTGGTTTGAGTGTTGCTTATACATTTTTTTTATTATTATTTACTAAAAAATAATTTTTGAAAATATGTGGCCTGTAGCAAAGTGACTGTAATGTGTTGTGTTTTTTTTATTTTTATTAGAAACATTTTGAACAACATACATACAACATAGGTATTGTGGCACAGAAAAAAAAAAAAATCATTAAGCCCTGATTAAAACAAATGTAATATGTAAATCTTGTATGTCACGTATGTATGACATGTATGTCTTTACTCTCTCTCTTTCTTGCTCTCTCTCTTT